ATGGCTTGCCATACTGACCTGTCGCTGAAAGTCTGCAGAAGTTTCCTGCTCACAGGAATCTCTGTGTTTTTATGAGACATAACGTCCTGCAGCAGGAGGCCACATGTGTTCACGCATGTTTGAGTTTTCAGCCTCATAAAACGCTGAAGGTTTTTGTGAAACAACTTTATCCTGACTCACTCTGCAAGAGCAGCAGGACTTTATTTTACACTTTCTCATCATCCAGGTGAATCTCTGCTGGACTGAAGTCTTTTGTTGCTGATTTGTTTGCTATTTTGCACTCAAAGCCGCAGCAGAACATGTCTGGACCCGGTTTGCTCCGGAGAAACTCAAAGATGCAAGAAGAAGAAGAAGTTCTGCTCACTGGAACCAGAACTGATTGGAGGCAAACATTCACACGGCATATTTAATACAAACTGATGAAGTGCTACATTTATTTATTTACCTTTATTAAAATGCATGGTTTATCCTTCATGATGCCATTTTTAATCATATTAGGTCCAAAATGATGAAAAATCATTTAAAAAAACACAAAAAATCTTACCAGGTAATTTTGGTTTAGTTTAGTTCACTTGAAATAACTTAGAGATTTTTCAGATTGTGATTCTCCTTGAAATCAATAATTCCTTAATATTGATGAAAAAGTTTTAATTTCACTGGCTGATTTTTTCACTTGTAACGAGACATTTTCCATGTTATAAGTTAAATAATTTACCTGTGAAACTACAACTTTTTCATCAATATTAAAGAATTATTAATTTGAAACAAGCTTTTATTTATTCCTGAATAGTTTCATCTGTTTTGTTTTAGTTCAAGTGAACTAAAATATTTGCAGTAGAAACTAAACTAAAAATTCTTGTTTTTTGCAGTGAGCAGCAAACTAAACCAGCTCATTTTTTACATAGATGCTGATTTGATTAATTCGTCCTTCTGCCTGATAAAAACTTTAAGTTTAGCAGTGAGTTGATGCAGAAATGCTGTGCTTGGCTTCATGTGAGGATATACCTCGCTGTGAACCACTCCTCAGGAGACTGAACTGTTCAGGATGGAAATAACGACTCATGGAGGTTGAACAGCCAATCAGAATCCGTCCTCCTCTGTTGGAGCCGGGTTTACATGGAGCAGGAAAATCTGGGTCGCTCCTCGGAAAAGTCCTGAGAACAAGAGCCGCATTCAGACCCGAGCCGCCTGCCAGCAGCAGAGAGTCACTCAGTCTGCACTGTGGATGCTGATGATGATGGACGACGGCCGTACCGGCCCTTTAAGCCGGCTCCTCGGGGCCCGGGGCCACGCCTCTCTGCGGTCGGTCCAGGACGTGTTTCACTGAGATGACAGCTTGACACTTCAGCTGGATTTGGGGAACGTTCCCTCATCTCTGCTGCTGTAAATCAGATGAAGGTTCATTTTTCACTTCCTGTTTGAGCCTTTAGCACTAATGCTGTTCTTAAACAGGAATTTGACTGACTAGCTCAGATATGAAGGTTCTGAAAAGTTTTCATAAGCCATAAATAAAATGATTTTTTAACAATATATAGATATAAAAACTTTTTGTTTGTAAAAGTGTTTCTAAAACATGTTTTTGTCATTCAGTGACGGTCTGGTGTTTCCGTAGGTTATGTGCGCTTTGACCCCAAATAATTGAAATCTGTGGATCAGAAAATATGAATTGCTAATAAACGACATTCAATTGTATATGGGAGTTTGGCATGAATGTTGTTCCCTATTGATTCATTGACTGTGGCTGCTTACGTGTCTGAATATTGCTGTTGAATAGTTGAGTATAAAGTATGTCAGCCTGGCTGTACATAATGCAGAGCAGACTTCTTTAACTTAGCCAATCAAATAGTAACTTCTGTGAAAGAGAGATGGCATCGTTTTCATTTTGGGTTATGAAAACTGTATAAAAGTCAGAAAAACATTCATATTTTCTTACGAACACGCTGCCAACCAAAGGACTTGACAATGACAGGACAAGAAGACAAGCCTTAGAAACGCAGTTATGGCACAACTTCCAGAAAACTTTGTAGTGTGAGTTTGGCTGCCGTCCCTGAGGATGTGCCGCCCTGGGTGGAGAGCCTTATTGCCTCTAAATGAAAAAGCACAACTGAATGTAACACAATCTTCTGTAGCTGCTTAAAGCTGCTAGCATGTCTTCTTGATCAGTGTGATGATTTAAAGGCAACTTCCAGACATGAAGAGTTTAGTTGTTAAAAGTTTTTATGACCAACATCCAGGTGAATAAAGGTGATAAATAATTAGCTTGTTGTTGCTTGGTGTCTCCAACAGGCTGGTTTTCAGTTTCACACAGTCAAACTCAGAACGATGGCGCATTATTGACATTTTGGAAACAAAGCGGAGCTAAAACTCAGGCTGATCAGACCTTTGTGAGCAGAGCGGCAGCGTGTTGACCCCTGGCAGCACAGGGTCATCCAACCTGATGTTTACTCAACGCTGGGCCCCCGGGAGGCTCCTTTAAGAGCTCCTGTTGGCCCTCGGCCCCCCATTCCTTAAACCTTTACGGGCTTCTCTCCGAGGCGGCACACAGGTCAGATGTTTGGGTTGGAAATTACAGGAAGTGAAACTCGATGCAGGGAAAGTCTGTCAGCAGCAGGAGGGAAACCGCAGTCTGCCTTTTATCCAGGCTGTAATTAGCATTTCAAATGTCATTTTCTTACAAATATGGGAATAATTTGTAGCGTTTCTAAAACCTCTGTGGGTTTTTGTGTTGCTGGTGTTTCTGTATTGTTTCTAGAATCAACTGGAAAAAATATTCATTCCCTCTTGATCTGGTCCACATGCTGCAACCTCACAGTTCAATGTATGTTATTGATTTTTCTCATGTTATTGACCAAATCTGATTAGTTTCTACCAGCTTCCTTAGTCCATGCTGAAGAAATGCATCCACTTAGCATGACACTGCCGCTATCATGTTTCACTGGGGATGAAATACATGGACGTTTTGATTTTAGAGTGAAAACATGTGAATAATAAGCCTAAAAAAATCAATACAAGTGGAAAAGTATCAGAAGTGCTGAAATTCTTTGTCTGTTTTCCCTTTAAAAGAGATAAATATTCAGGCAGTGAATTAATAAAAACATGTTTCCTAACATTAATGAATGTTAGTTAAATGCGGATTAGAAAAGCCGGTTTTCAGACAAAGTCAGTTCAGCATTGTTTTGTTTTATTTTATTTTTATAAATCAAGGTTTTTCTGTTAATGTTTTATGTGGCTGGCAGGAAGGGAGAATTTGTCCATTCCTGCAGAAACGTGACCTTTTCCGGAGAGCATAATGGCTTCATGTGACCGTTCTGTCTGTGTTTCTGCAGTTCTGTGAGTGGCTGAAGTCTCTGGTCCGGGACCAGCGCAGCGTGGTTCTGACCGGCCTGCTGGGCCTCCTGTGCATGGCGTGTTTGGGCGTGTCCCCCGGCACCGCCCTGCCCTCGGCCCTCATCCCCTTCACCCTGTGGATGGCCAGCTAAGAGGCCGGCTCAGAACAAACCCAGAGACTGTTCTGGAAGACGGGAAACATCTGGCCTTTAACTAGACCGTGTAGGTTTTAGGAGGAGACGGAAACTGTCGCCTCGTCTGATTGATCTGGAAGTAAAAACATTTTCTGCTAGTTTGGACACTTCTCACTTTGATATTCTGTTATTGTTTTTATTTTCTCTGCTGCTGAATAGAAACTTCATTTGATGATTATCAGCCAATCAGAAGAGAGAAAGGAACCAAACAGCCGCCTGAACATTTTAGTTCAGATTTTAAAGATAAAAATCACATGAAGTCTGCTCTGTTTCCGGTTCTAGCAGGTGGATCTGAGTAAACGTTGCTTTTCCTCCAGGTTTCTCTTCTTCTTCATCAGTTTTGGCTCCATTTCTTCTCAGTTCTTCGGGAATCTGTTTGGTTTTCTGGTTCTGCCTGAAACCTGGTGAAGATGTAAATATCTGTAAATATCCTTCAGGACCTTATTGTTTCCTAACAGTCACAAACTTTTTTAACGTTTTATAACTTGTTATATTGTGTTTTAATGTGTAAATAAAGGAAATAGAAGAAGAGAGTGTGTGGGTTTTTTTCTCAATTGTTACATTTATTATAACAAATTTACCCAACTTTGATTTTATTCTATAAATATTTGATTTATTTTCACTTCCATATTAAAATATGAAAATGTCTTCAAAATTATCACTAAAGCAAAGTAATTAAAATTTTAAAAAGCTGTGTCAGCACTTTTCTTTCCAAATTGTTTAACTGAAAATTGCTTGAAGTTTTTATTTATTTATTTTTATCTCCATTGAACTCATTATTAGCTGCTCAGCTGTTATCAGGGTTTGTTTGCTGTAAGATTATTTCTAGCCAGATTCAATCAAATGAAAATAAAAACAGATTTTCTTCAAATCAAATATTAATTTACTTCCCTGTGTGAGAAGAAATGAATGGAAACTATTTTAATCTGTTGTGTTTATTAGTTTTATTTATGGTCTTTGGCTGCTTATGCCTGCTAACTTTTGTTCATCATAATCATTTTGAACTGTAAATAAACATGATGACCTCATTAATGTGAGGTTATTTATAAGCAAATTTTATTTTTAAAAATTAAACTTTATAAACTCTATAAGCAGTTTTTAAAAAGCTCATCTGTTATATTAATGAAGTTTTTACATTATTTATTTGACCTGATTCTTTTCGTTGGGCTCCTTGGAGCCTGACGCCCCCTGCTGGCTAACATGGAGACTGCATGACAGTGTTGGCTGAGTGATGAAGACGACCTGCTCTTCATCTCATGTTCTGTGACAGGAGTTGAAAGTTGCTGTGAAGTTCTTTATAGGTTTTTATCATAATGTTTGGTCACTTCTCATCTGTTTTGATCCTTTTGGACCCAGGAGGTCAGAAGCTGAAGCAAACAGCGCCCCTGTCTGTCTGAGTTCCTCTGGTTTCAGGTCAGATTTGGACTCTAATCTCTGATCCTCCTGGATAAAACCTCCAGTTTCTCTGCGACCCGCGTCTCCTGCACCATGTTTCCCCTGCGGCTCCTCGCTTTGATCTTCGTCTCCTCGGCAACCGCTGACCCTTCACCTGAGGAGAAGAAGAAGGATGATGATGATGATGATGATGAGAAGGACAGGTATGACCTGGTGTTCATGAGGGGAGACCTGCTGGAGGTTCCCCGGACTCTCTTCACTCATTTTGGGATTTACCTGGGAGGAGGCAGTGAGTCAGACGCTGCGCTCTGATTGGTCAGGAGGTAAAAATGGGCCATTTGAATATTTCTTGTTTTTGTCACTTTGCTTCTTTCTGACGTGTGACGTCATTCTGCCCTTCAGAAATATTCTTTATAATTTCTGTCTTTCTACCATTTTCTTTCTTAATTTGCCTTTTTTTATTTTAAAATTTCCCTGTTAATCAGTTTGTATTCATTTGTAACATTTATTTTTCATTCCTTTAATTGTTGTCTGTCTGTTATTTTACGTATTTTTGCCTCCATGTTCCCTCCAGAGTGGCTCATTTCATCCCTGACATCATGCCCGTCGTCTCCACCAACCAGATCCGGATCAGACAGATGGTCACCAACACCAGACTCATACTGGGAGTTCTGGCTAAGGTGGACTGTTATTTTCTGAAGCTACAAGGATCTAGAGAGCGTACAAAGATGTATTTTACATCATTCACAGCAACACTGGCAGCATCAAACTTTTCCTTTGTTTAAAGTTGCAGTTTCCCTTCTGACCTGTGAGCGGCAGTGTTGCTCTGCAGTTACAATTCAGAATACAATCAGCCAACATAAACAGACACTGTTTATGAAACAGTGTCTGTTTTATAAACAGCCTGTTTTATTGTGTTCGGACCCCACGAGGCCCTTAAATATGATTTAATCTGCTGCCTCGTTGTGTGTTTGGCCCTCGACTCTTTGATAAAATCCAGCCTAACGTGTTCTGGTGTGCAGTGTGGCAGCGTGAGGGTGGACTCAGTGGAAGACTTCGCCTATGGAGCCGAGATCATCATCAACCCCATGGACAAGGTGACCCTGGTTCAGTTAAAGCTCTGACGTCATTTATACAATAGAAAACAATGAGTTTATGTTAGTATCCATGAATCCATAAACCAAGGGTCCTTAAAGGTTCAGGGAGTTCTGGGTCTGATCCATGTTGAATTATTCCGGGTCATCCTGAATGAATCTGGAGGTCTCTTGATGGTATTAATCCAGGTTTTAATGTGTTCTGCCCTCAGATGAGCAGCTGTGCTGCGCTGCAGGGAGAGGAAGTGGCCCGGCGGGCCGAGAAGCTGCTGGGCGACGTGGCCTACAGCCTTCTGTGGTACAACTGCGAACACTTCGTCATGTACTGCCGATACGGCACCGTCATGAGCTTCCAGACCTTCCAGGTGACGCTCCACAGGAAACCCCAACAGTACAGTCCAAATTCAGTCGACTTCATGGCACATGAACTAAAATCTGTTACAAACCCAGGTGGAGAATAAAAGCGACTGCGTTTTTGTTGGCTCTCAGGTTTTCCAGCAACACTTTAACCTTTGCTCCCTGTGGCAGATTAACAGCGATCACCGATCAGACCAGACGCTTTCTCTGGTTGGGTTAAGCTTTGCATTGCAGCAACCGTTCGTCTGTGAAAGCTTCATTGTTTCAGCAGATTCTTTGTGTGATTAGGAGGTTGAGAAGGAATTAAGAAGGAGCTAACCAGGCTGCATGGAGCTGGAGAACTGGGCTTGAAACTGCATCAGTGGAGCTGCAGCCAGGCGACAGAGAAGGAAAATCACGTCAGGATTACACAAACATTCATTTAGTGGATGTCAGGAACATAATGTTCAGACCTGCTGCAACCACAGAGGATTATCTTCATGACCCAGACCGTAGGAACGGCTGCAGGTTCTCTTGGTTTTCTTTGGGAGTGGCTGGAGAACCCAGAAACACTCGGAGGGAGTTTCATTAGCTTGGTTTCTGTCCAACTGTCATGTCGTGAAAAAAGGGGCAAAATGCCAGTCAGACGTGTTTCTATCAGCTGGTTTGGAGAAAATCAAAATAACTGAATCGTCTCTAGAGTCATTGCACGGTGAAATGTCGCCATCTAGTGGCCGTTTTATGCAGCGTGGATTTACGTATGTGATACAATTTAGCACTGAAATATAGACCTGAACTTTTTATCATTATTTCTCCCTCCAGGAATAATGTTCTCTTTCACTTCAAACTTGTTGAAGCTTGTAAAAGATTTTCTGGCAATAGAACCGAACAGAAGTGAGACAGAAGAAAAGAAGGAATGAGGAAAACAGATGACAGATTGCTGACGGTTCTCTGGTTTGTCTCCATCAGTTCTGTAAGACGGTGAGGAAGCTGCTGCTGAGTCGAGGCGTTGCCAAGATTACGGCAGTGCTGGCTGCTTGTCTGCTGGTCTACCTGCGGGTTATGAACACCTGGTCGGTCCTGCTGGCGGTTCTGCTGCCTTTCCTCCTCTGGATGGCCTCCTGATTGGACACATGACCCGGACCCTGACCCGGATCCTCAGAGATGATTTATTTTGACCAGCAAACCAATCTGAAATTTAAATTAGTCCTGATTGTTTTCATCAGAGAATCTTTCATTGTTTTTGATTTATAATAGATCCCAGACATATCCTGTCAAATAAAAGTTTATTTATTTACATTTGTTCAATGTTAAGATGTCTTAACGGATGGATTTTGCCAGAACATTCTCATAAATCCACCTCCTTTGGATTGCACCCGTTCTAAATATTGTTTCATACGATATTCTTCATACATTTCTTGCAAAATAATTGTGATAATATGATTTATTCTTGAGAGATCAACATCCTTGATTCACATTTCTCTCAATCACATGATAGAAAACTACAACTGAACAAAATTGTCCCAAATTTATTTGCAAAAAAGTTTTATTAACTTAACATTTGATTCCCCTCATGATTTTGTTTACATTTTTTATTAAGATTTCAAATTTATATTCTTGTTCAACTTTCAGTTAATGTAAGTATTCAACAAATTAATAATTTTGTGTTTTTAGCTTTATATAATGAGACTTAAAGTTTACTTTGCTTATTTTATTCTATTTTATTTTATTTTCATTTTTATTTTCGCATCTTTCCGATCCCGGCTTCCGCACTGAAAAGCTCTTCTCTGATTGGCTAAACGTAAGTTTTTTTAAAAAAAACTCTTTATTACTATTATCAACATATACATTAAATATGTAATCGGCCTCAAATGTACATAAAATCAGAAAAACCTGATGAAGCCGATCTCGGCTGCTTCCATACAGACAAAAAAGGAGGAACGAAAATAACAAAACAAAACAAAACAAAACAAAAAGACATACATTAGGGGTTTTCCAGCAATTTCATAATGATTATCATATCATATAGTTCTGTATCTTGACCTTTGTTCATGAATTTCAGCAAGAAGAAGCGGTGGCAGAGATCCTTATGAAAAAAGGGGAAAGACGGTTTGGTTTTAAGGAAACGACATTTGTGTATGAAAAACTTGCCCATAATAATTATGACATTTAACAGAATTTCAAATTTCTTTTCTTTTCTCATAGTCCCAAAGATAATATCATTCTTGGAAAAGTCAGGTAAGTTCGGGATTTTAGGAAAAAGCCAGTAGTGAATATCATCCCACAGAGCTTTGCAATACACACAAAAGATGTTCAGTCGACTCAATATCACCATTACAAAATAAACAAGTGTCATCATCAATAGCAAATCGAAGTCTAAGGAATTCCTTAGAAGGGTAAAGGCCTGAAAAGATTTTGAAGTGGACTTCCTTGGCTTTTGGAGGAATTGGAAGCTTTAAATAATTTGTTCTAATTTTTTGCTTCTGATCTTTTGAAAAGAAATGCGATATAAAATTTGGATTGGATATAAACGAAAATAGAGAACTCATAAAGCAGTTTTCTGATTGGCTAAACGTAAGTTGCGTAAGGATCCGCTTCCCCGAACGGCTCTGAACTGTTCTCACCGTTGCCAGGCAACCTTCCTTCTCTTCCCGGCGAAGTTGTGACCGCAGACCGGAGCTCCGCTCGTCTCTCCCGAGGTCTTATCACCGCAAAGAGGGCGAATCATTCACTCGGAGGGGAGAATGCCGCAGCACAGAGGCGGTAAGAGTTTCATTTAAGTCGTTTGCTAAAGTTTTAGGGAATAATTTGACTTGCTTAACAAAGTTAAATTTTCGTAACGTCACATCTTTATACTGATGAGCCGCTAGCTAGCATGTTTAGCTAACTTTTAATGGCTGTTTATGTCAGTTTAGCTACTGGAAATGATGCTAATTTAACCATAATGATGCTGAAAGTTTATGTAATCGTGATAAAAATTAGAATTTTATCCCAAAACTTCAAAATGTGAGCATTTTGAAGTTTCAGATAAACGGTTTTAGCTGTCACTGCTGGTTTAAATCAGCTCCACTTTCTGTGAAATCTTTGGGAAAGTGAGAATTTTGACCATATTATCATTATTAGGCATTTTTCCCAATTCCAAGCTGGATAAATTTGAATGAATTTAAGCATATCAGTTGATATTTCTTTGTATAATGAGGGGGTGTGTGGCCTAAAGAGCTTAAATACAAAGTAAACATGCCTCTTTGATGTGATTTGTTTTGATTGCCTCAGAATAGCTATTGTGTGGAGGAGGGTCTTTCTCTTCCCTCATTTACATGCCCTTTCTGTGAGAGACACATCCAAAATGAGCTCCAGAAGACTTACAGCTGAAGAAGCTTCATTGCAGATTTTGAATTGGGATAGCGATGTTGACGAAGAAATTTCAGAGACGGAAGATTCTTCAGAGCCAGAGGACAATGCTGTGGATGATCCAGATTGTCATTTTTCCCAAGATGTGGAGGATTCAGAGGACGATTCTTCATCTGATGAAAATCAAGAAACGCAACAATCCTCATCCACAAAGGGGACTTGGACATCTAAAGATGGTAAGATAAGATGATCATCATCACCACATCAAAGCCAAGGCAGATTGTTATCTTCTAATGTCATCAAAATGACACCTGGTCCAACAAGATTTGCCCTCACAAGAGTTGATGACATTGAATCAGCATTTCAGCTTTTCATATCCCCACCCATGGAGAAGATAATTCTTGAGATGACCAACTTGGAGGGGAGACGTGTCTTTCAAGAAAAATGGAAACAGCTGGATCCAACTGGCTTGCATGCCTACATTGAAATTCTGGTGTTAGCTGGAGTATACAGGTCAAAGGGTGAAGCAACTGCAAGTTTGTGGAATGAAGAGAATAGAAGACCAATCTTCCGAGCAACAATGTCTTTGGAGACATTTCACATGATCTCTCGTGTCATACGATTTGACAACCGTGACACCTGAGCTGGTCAACGCAAGAGAGACAAACTTGCAGCAATCAGAGATGTCTGGGATAAATGGGTCCAAGTCCTGCCTCATAACATTCCTCAAAATTTGCTTTCACTGAGAAAACAACACTTGTTTCTTACTGCCCAAAGAGAAACAAAAATGTTCTTGTGATGAGCAAAATGCACAAAGATGCATCTCAGAGCACAAGAGCAGACATGAAGCCACAAATGATCCTGGATTACAACTCCACCAAAGAAGGAGTTGATAATCTTGACAAAGTCACAGCGACTTATAGTTGCCAGCGCAAGACTGCCCGTTGGCCCTTGGTGGTTTTCTCCAACATTGTGGATGTGTCTGCCTACAATGCCTATGTCCTGTGGATTGAGATCAACCAGCAGTGGAATGCCAGCAAACTGCACCGACGTCGACTTTTCCTGGAAGAACTGGGCAAAGCACTCGTCACTCCCAACATCCAGAATCGAGTCAGGCCAGCTCAGTCCCTGGCAGCCGCAGCCGTCATCGCAAAAGTCCAGGGCAGGGCATCTGACCAACCCACAATGGAACCTGTCGATACAGGTGCAAAAATCGCAAAAGATGCCAAGTCTGTTCCTCCAAAGATGACAGGAAAACAAGAACCTCTTGTGTGAGATGCAGGAAGTACATTTGCAGAAAGCACTGTCACATTCTGTCCATCATGTGGGGAACACTGAAAATGTTGGACATTGACAGAGAAAATGAGGCAAGGCCAATGAAAAGCAGTGTTCATGAAGAGTGAAAATTTTAAATAAGCAGTTCAATGATATTGTGTTCAAGTTGTGTATCTGTTCTTCTCATCTCTCATAAGTGTGTATCTAATCTAAAATAAAGTTCTGACTGGTTTGACTTAATTTTTGACTGTTTTGAGACGAATTACACAGTACGGGTCAAAATGATCCGCAACATCATAAATATAATTATTTCTCAACATAATACAGCATATCAGTTGATAATGAGGGAGGGTGTGGCCTAAAGAGGTTAACACCCTGAATCAAGGTGTGTGTTATTTACTTTATGGCAGATTGTTCAAAGATTTAATGGATGAAACGAGAGTGACTCTTATTGGACCAGATGGACGGTCCTGTGGGTGGATCAGTGACTGGCTCAGAGCTTCACTTTGAAGGTGGAGACGGGGTACTGGTATGTGCTGGTATGATTAAAGCCGAACTGGTCGGACCTTTTCAGGTTGAAGACCTTCTGCCAGTTTTTAGACACTTTCTTCCATCAATGGTTCAAGTCATCAAGTCTCCATCTTTCAAACAATAAATGATAAAAGAAGCAAAACTGATAGCATGGGCCTTCCTCACCTTAAAATGGGAGATTTCCAGTGAAGGAAACCAGTCCAGCTCTCTGGGAGTCTGGAGCTGACAAACTCTGAATGGAACCCGATCGCTGTTATTGAAAAGAAGGGCAGCTATATCGGCCACTTATTGTTTTGCTTTTTTTAATGTCAGAAATGTTTATATGAACGTTTTGAATTAATAATGATTGAAAATAACGAAAACGCCAAAGTCAGGTGTGAAAATGTTTTTGTTTGCTTTTAGCTGCCCAATAGTTGCTCACATATAGATATTTTCTGAAGAAAACTCATGGTTACTTTCTTAAACCTTCATGTTTGAGGTTTATTCATATTTTTGGATTAACTAAGAGAACTGCAGATGGTGAGTAATACAATAGTAATAATTGTATTATTTTAACCCTGTTACAGATTCTTTAAAAGACAAACTCTGAAAATTGTTGTTTTATTTTTATCAAGCAGTCTCCTTTAGTTTAGTTCTGGTTTCACTAATCCAGTTCAGTGAAACCAGAACTGGATTATTATGCATTGAAAAATATAACTGGTGATTTATGAAAACATTACTAAGTTTGTAATGTTTTAAAACACATTTAAAGTATTTTTGGATTTCTGTGAATGATTGAAGTTAATTTCAACAAGAAGTTGAACTGTAGCCTCCAGTATTCATCTGTACTCCAGTTCATTGTGAAGAGTTCTTGTCTTTTTCTCATAATGGTTAAGACTTTCTTGTAACATTTAATACGACAGTCAGTCTGCCCAGCACCAGGTGAGCTGCAGAATGCTAACCGCGGTGCTTCTCATTGGACAGACGGGGACAGGTCGTCCGACGAGGACCTGGACGGGGACTCCGGGGACGTGGACCTGCCGGCGAACAGAGACGACTTCAGGGTGTCGTGCGCGAAGGAGATGGCTCTGCTGGCTCTGATGGAGAAGACGGGATATAACATGGTGCAGGA